GGGTGTGAACTAATAGAAGGAATTGAAAAGATCATATCATTAAGAATCATATCGTTAATATAATATCATAAATGGTGACATCATAGATGACAAAAATGATCAAATCTAGATCATATAATTTTTTTCATGGGTCATGTTCTAAAGAGTAAATGCCCTTCGCATTAAAAAGAACTCTTCATTTTCAGTCATAAAGAGAATTTAAAATGATTAAAATATTTATTAATTAATAGTAAACTTCCTGATAGTTGAGTGGTTACGTTGGGTACATTCTCTTGGTGAAGTAGTCTTCTAATGGAGTAGTTAGAAGATATATATCTTTCAATCTTTCCAAATAGATCTATGGAGATATTATTTTCAAATCATTGCAAGTTATACAATTGTTCGCAATGATTCAGAAGGTTTTCCACTGAGGAAGATATCGACAAAATTTGAGCAATTCTTAATGTATCCAGCAATATATTTTAAAACATCGATCCAAAGATTTGATTCAATTTTATTATACATTTTATTGATTCCATAATGTGTTGATATTGAGCATACTTTGTTTTCAAGATCTTTTTCTTGTTATATACTATCACAGCTAGTTGAGTTATTTCTCAATGGGCATCAGTAGAATATTTTTACGAATAGAGCAATCTTTTTCTGCTTAGCAAGATTTTTTTTCAGTACTTTAAAAGGTATCAATGATCTTTCACTATTTTACCTCTAAGATTTTAACAGTGTCGTTTCACAAATTTAAGAATACTATTAAGATTATTACAAATTCATGACTAGGAATCCAAATGGTAGATAACAGAGGAAAAAATCATAAAATATAAGTTCCATTCAAATAGGAGTTTGTGTATGTTAACTGTATCATGCTTCGCGTATGTTTTTTGAGCACATTATGATCATACGTTACAATTTGAGAGAGTATGAACAATTGGTTAAAGAAAGAAGAGGAGCTAAACTCAAAGGATCGGTCGACATTTATATTATATTAGAAGGAGTGACTGAGTCATGCTTTTGTTGTTTCTTATCACACTTGGTAGACATCTAGACCAAGTCCACGAGCCCGTGTGGACTCATGGTTGAAGGTAAAAGGGGACAGCTTCTGTTGTGACGGAGAACCCGCAGATAAAAGTCTGACTTGGCTCCGCTCTACAGGCATATGAGACCGGGACTTACGATCACTCTACGGTCATTATGTGCACACTTTAAGCTAATTAGACCGGGACCTACAGTACCCTGAGTTAAATGGTTCACTTTGATAACGTGTTTGTTTGTTGTTTCTTATCCCACTTGGCTGGCCAAGCCCACGAGCCCATACGTACTCATGATTGAAGGGGAAGGAAGCAGCTTCTGTTGTAATGGAGCACCCCATAGGTAGAAGTCTGACTTTGGCTCCGTGACGCTCTTACACTCATAGGAGACCGGGACCTACGGCTTAAAGTGGATTCCGAACCACTACAAATATCCATTGCACCACCGGAACTCGAGCCCGAAAGCTGTGACACCGAGCGCCAGACACCAGGAAATTCAGGCCCGATTGAATCATAACAGAAAGCAATGGCAAGAAATCAGCATTCTACAGAATGATCGTCAGAGTGGATCAAACAGCCTTTAATTCGTCTTTATCAACGATCTGATGTGTAATGCGCGGCCTGGAGGCCAATTGGCTCACGCTCTGTCCTTTGGTATCACAGGCTTCAGGTTCGAATTCTGGTGGTTGCACGGATGCTTGTTAGTGGTTCGGAACCCACGTCAAACTGTAGGTCCCGGTCTAATTAGCCTAAAGTGTGTACAAAATGGCCATAGAGCGACAAACCAAATCAAACTGATGCGTAATGGGTCACTGCTAGTACTGTTGAAAAGCATCGTATCTAAAATAAAAGTTTCCCTACGTATAGCAAAAAGTGGTGACGGTTTCATTTGACATGGAGTTTCACTCACCGAACAATAACTGTTTACTGTTTTCAGGAATAAATGTGATATTGCTGACGAATATCTGTTTTTAGCAACAAAATCTGCTTTGAATTAAGCCATAGTTACAACCAAAAATGTGTATAAAAATATCCAATAACTCTACGATTAAAGGCCAATTATAATCGCATAGTAGATAGAAATGAGTCTACACGTTACTGATTGGTTCGATGTATCGTAGTTGCAGTATTTACGTTAAATTCTTCAAAAATTTAAGAGTTTTTCTTACTATACCATATGCATCAATTTCCATCCTCTTTAGATAAATTCTTTCCGGTGCATCATTTTTTTTTTTATTTTAGCTATTCTTATTGTTTTATTTTAGCTATTCTGATTGGTTCATTTAAATTTCTTTCTCGAGCAATTCTTATTGGTTTATTTAAATTTCTTTCTCGAGCTATTCTTTTTGGTTTATTTAAATTTCTTTCTCAAGCTGTTTTTATTGGTTTATTTAAATTTATTTCTCAAGCTGTTTTTATTGGTTTATTTAAATTTATTTCTCAAGCTGTTTTTATTGGTTTATTTAAATTTATTTCTCAAGCTGTTTTTTATTGGTTTATTTAAATTTATTTCTCAAGCTGTTTTTATTGGTTTATTTAAATTTATTTCTCAAGCTGTTTTTATTGGTTTATTTAAATTTATTTCTCAAGCTGTTTTTATTGGTTTATTTAAATTTATTTCTCAAGCTGTTTTTATTGGTTTATTTAAATTGCTTTCTCAAACTGTTTTTATTGGATTATTTAAATTTATTTCTAGAACTCTTCTTATTGGATTATTTAAATTTATTTGGCGTGCTTTTTTTATTAAATATATTCCATGTATTTTATTATAAAATCGTTTGCAATAGGGTAGTTTTAATTTTTTTTTAAATTTCTATCACGCTTTTTTTTAATCTTTCTTTTATGCACTTTTTTTTTATAAAAACGTTTGGAATTCTATGCTTTTTTAATTTTTTTACTGATAATTTTTTAGTACTGAGTGATAACTGATGAACATAATTTTTTGCCGAAATTTTGCTTTACCGAATAATTGCCGACTTTATGATTTATTGATACTTTTCCTATCTTTGCTTGTTTAAAATTGCTGTAATGAGTTTTATTCTTACATTAAATTCTAAATTTTATGGGTTATTGGCCTAGACGATTTTTTTTCTAAACAAAAAACAATAACCTCTTTAATGCTATTTTATACATTAAAAATAAATAAATACAATAACCCAAGGTCAGTAAAAGATAGCACATCCCGATCTAAAAAATTAGAAGTTTTTGGAAAAGAGTATCCATAAATAATTTTTCAGATATGAGTCAGTACAAATACCAGAATCTAATATTTTAGTTGCATTTTCTACTTCCTCTACCGGAAATCATTGCCTATTTATAAATGTGTTTAAAAGCTCGGAAGAAGTATGGTGACATAGAAATTTTCGACATGTAATTTCCTGTGCTTTCTGAAAAATTAACGTCAAATTATCTATTGACGTTTTTATTTTCGATTTATGGGGAAAAAGAAACAAAATAGAGGTATAGTAAAACTCAGTTTGTTAGACGCAAGAAAATATTGTTATGGGTAATTTTCCAGAAGTTACAGAAAAAGTAAGGTATGTATTTTGATGAATTAAAATTTTTATCACTTTTTAAGATTTTATCTGTATAATTTGTAGTAGGGAAATATTTTTTTTTGCTCAGGAAAATTCAGTAAAATGAGTAATTAAATATAAAAAATAGTTCGTTGATTTATAGTAGAAATTGTAGACTTATCGAAGGAATTTATTAAATGCTTGGTTTTTATTAATTTATTTTTATATATATACATATATATTTAATTAATTAATAAATTATAAATTTAATTATAAATTTTAATTAATTAATTTTTAAAGAATGCCGAAATAAGTATGGTAAATTTAATTATCGATTATGCTTTTAAAATTTTCTTGTATAGTATAAGGATAAATAATTATATTAAATTAATTTATATATTTGGTTTGGTTATTTTTGGTATATTTTTAATTAATTTATATTTTAGCGCATTTGACTTGCTATAAAAACATAATTTGCTTTTAAATATAATATAAAAGTATATTAATATAAAAATAGGCATAGTACTTACGCAGAATGTTACTATATGCAAGTTAGAAAGTCCTTAATAGCCTTGGTGATATAGTTTTACAATATCTATATTACTGGAATTTTTTAAAATGTCTATATATATATATATATATATACTATAAAAATAGTTATATAATAGTATAAGACAATAATTCAAGAAAATTTCTTGAGTCTGAAAAATACGAAAAAGAATGAATTCAGTAAACAATTGAATTCATTTTGTATTTTAATGCAGGGAATTTGTTATATTTTGTAACTATGACATGTTAATTTTTATTTTTATAACATGTTTCATTATTGAACGGAATGTAATATTGACAGTAAGGCTCGTACTGTTTGTACTGTAAAGGGATGTTTGAGGCTAATACTGTTTGTACTAAAGGGATGTTTGAGGCTAGTACTGTTTGTACTGTAAAGGGATGTTTGAGGCTAGTACTGTTTGTACTGTACTGTATAAGTCTGCTTATCTTGCAATAGCCTACAAAAGAAATTGGCGGGAGACCGGAAAGCCATTTTTGAATTTGAATCGTCTCTTAACTTTCTCTCAGCATTAATCTAATGTTTTTGCATGTGTTTTCTTCCGGTTGTAAGTTCATCAGAAGATGTACATGCTTCTTTATTGTTAGTCCATCCATCCAGTAGGCTTGATGATGACATTATGAAAGAAACTTAAGCATTGTTCTACCCCAATCCCAAGAGAACAACCACAATTAAACCAGTGAATTTCACATCCTCCAATTATCTCCTCAAATACTATGGAAAGATTTTCTGTATTATATAAATTAACTCTAAAACATCACATAAGCACGGGAATCACTCAACAATACGCCAGCCAAAAGTCTACATAATGAGAATATTCTGAGAAATGTGGCGTTTCATATTTTGTCGATGATTCATTAAAATTAACATTGTTCCATTATATTATCAAAGCCAACGGCCATACCATGCTGAAATTCTCGTTAGATCACCGAAGTCAAGCATTAATGGGCGCGGTCAGTACTTGAGTGGGTGACCACCTGGGAAAAACACCGCGTGCCGTTGGCACCCACAAATTTGGGACCTGAATGGCCGAGTGTCTGGCGCTCGGTACCACAGGTTTCGGGTTCGAATCCCGTCGGTGCCATGGATATTTGTAGTGGTTCGGAATCTATTTTAAGCCGTAGGTCCCGGTCTCCTATGACTGTAAGAGCGTCACGGAGCCAAAGTCAGACTTCTACCTACGGGTGCTCCATCACAACAGAAGCTGCTTCATTCTCCTTCAATCATGAGTACGTGTGGGCTTGGCCAGCCAAGTGGGATAAGAAACAACAAACAAACACATTATCAAAGTAAACCATTTAACTCAGGGGTTGGACTCCTTAGTTAATTGAACAAATATTCTGTTTTCATGCATGATCTGAAAGAGATTTATTATTGTATTTTTCAGGCGGCATTCCTGCTTCTGTGGTATAATCTGTGGTGTCATATGTGCAGCCGGAATTATTATAGTTGCGGTTTTTCCACCTAGAGGAAACAGCACATCATGTGCAGATACTGGAAAAGCCTTTGCTATGTTACAATTAGCTGAAAGTTTGCTATCTAAGGCAAAGGAATTAAGTCCTACTTATGGTAAGTTAGTGAAATAATAATATTTATTTTTTAGAATTATGTAGATTTTTGTTAAACGGTTTGTGACTTACACAACTTACTTGTGGCCACATTTTAATCCTGTGGTTTTTTCAAATTTTTAGTTGAGTTGATAAGGGTAATCACAAAAATGAAATTGGATAAATTAAAATTTATCGTAAAATATTTGTTGAGTGTAACAGGAAAAAAATTCGATATTAATAATTTGAATAAGATCTTTATATAAATTTGAGAGTATATAGATATATAGATTGTTCTTGATGTTTATAAATGTTTATCTAGTAAATTGTTCTTGATGTTTATAAATGTTTATCTAGTAAATTGTTCTTGATGTTTATAAATGTTTATCTAGTAAATTGTTCTTGATGTTTATAAAAGTTCATTTAGTAAATTGTACTTGGCGTCTATAAAAGTTCATTTAGTAAATTGTACTTGGCGTCTATAAAAGTTCATTTAGTAAAATGTTCGTGATGTCTATAGAAGTTCATTAAGTAAATTGTCCTTGATATCTATAAAAGTTCATTTAGTAGATTGTTCTCGGCGTCTATAAAACTTTATTTAGTAAATTGTTCTTGATGTTGATAAAATTTCATTTAGAAAATTGTTCTTGGTGTTTACAAACATTCATTTAATAAATTCTTTAATGGCAGAGAATTAAGTGAATATAAATAAGGTTAGTTTTACTAATCCAATTTGTTTTAAATCTGTTTTTTGATGGATCGCAGTGTAGTCCAACTCTTTTTAGATCTGTTCCAATCCTAATATTTTCTTAATCCTATTGAACCAAAAAAAAAAATTTCTTTTCAATTATGATTTAGATTCAGCACTCTAAAGATAATTTCCCGAGATTTCAGAAGATAACTTTTAACAAAATAATTCAAAAAGTGTTGAACAATGTATCAAATCTCATAAACCTCATTTTATCATACTTTCATAAATGTAAACGCGATATAATTATTTCTAGAGGACATCCCCAGAATGGCCGAAACATCTGATGCCCTCCAACAAGACAGACCTCGGGATTGTTCCGAAATTCTGGAGAAGGACAACAGCAGGAGTGGCGTGTACACGGTTTGGCCTAGTGGTGGTTTCACGCATGGCAAATCAATCAGAGTCTACTGTGATATGAGCATTGACGGTGAAGGATGGACGGTCAGTAATATTATCTTGGTATAATGTAAAACTGTTAAAAAAACAATAATTTCTTTATACACTCAAGAGCCAAAACATTATGACCACCCCTACATTTTGCAATGAACTCGCCTGGATGACGTGGAAGGCACGTGATCAGGTGGAAGTGGTATTTAACTGGTAATAAGTGGTGGTATTAATACATGCCAAGGCGGGTTGAAGCTGTGTTGCGCTTCAAAGGTGGGCCAACTCGTTATTTGAGAGTTTTTGCATACCGTACGTTAGTTACCGTAGGACGTCCGTTAGCTTTTTCTCCCTAGCGCGCATGCTCAGTTTCCTATAAGCATGCGCGCTAGGGAGAAAAAGCTAACGGACGTCCTACGTTAACTAACGTACGGTATGCAAAAACTCTCTATTGGCAGGTGGTCATAATGTTTTGGCTCTTGAGTGTAAGTATTAATCTATAAGCAAACGTAGAAAGAAAAATTCGTGTATTAAGAGGTAATTTACTCATGTCTTCAAGCTGATTGTTCAAAATAATGAACTCCGAAATATTCAATAGAAATTTTTCAATACGCTAATAAGACATTACAATCTCTTGATTAGTACCAACACACACTTAATACACTAACAATAATGATACTCATCATGCAGAATAAGGATGCTCTTACATGAAAGGAATAATTAACGAATAATCAATTTTTACGTAAATGCTATAAAAGTAAATAAAAAAACAGCCGACATAATAAATTTGTTTGATAAATCCTTAGAGTTTTTTTTTCTTTTGTAAACATGTTATTCTGATTTGCCGTCTAAGAAAAAATGATGTTTAAAGCATAGATGAATCTTCTTGCACGCCCTATAAAATTTTATTTATGGATATATTTATTAAAACACTTAAAACTGTCCCTTTGATATTAAACGGCCTGATAGCTAATTGGCTAGTGCTAGTTTGATACCACAGCCTTCAGCTTCGAATCCTGGCGGTGGCATGGATGTTTGTGAGTGGTTCGGAATCCATGTTAAACTGTAGGTCCCAGTCTAATTACCCTAAAGTAAGCAAAAAATGATCGTAGAGCGACAAACCAAACCACGCAATAAATGTAGGCAGGCATATGGAGCAGTGATGCGCTCTGCTCCCGATGGCACAGGTTTCGGCTCGAGCCCTGGTTGTTCTATGGAAGACTGTAGTGGTTCGGAATCCCCATTTAACCGCAGGTCCAGGTCTTATATGACTGTTAGACGTAGGACTGACAAACTTACTCCGTAAAGAAAGGAAACAACATGTCATGTTACGGAATATGGCAGAAGGCATTGGCCTTTCATGGACCTGTAGCACCATTGAAGAAGATACATGTATATGGCACTTGTGTTACTACAAGCGTACATTAGAAAACGACTTAATTTTGGAATGTTAAACTTCAATTGAGAGCATGTGTCTTTTTGAAAGTCTCTTGATATATAAGGTTTTTTAAAAATACTTTTTAGAAAGAATTTTACTTAGATTTTCAGCATGTTTAGGAAGTTCTAAGTTAATTTCCGTAAATTGCAGACATATACACATTTTGATGGGATTTCTTATGACTTTACGCATTTTGTAAATTTTTGGTGCTGGTATACAAATTGCCCTGGTATACAAATTTCTGAGAAGTATGTTGTAATTATTAAATCGAATATTACAGAAAAAAATTACATTCAGTTTATTCATTCTTGTGTGTATAAAAAACATGAGCCTGGTGTGTCCTAACAATTTCTTCAATGTTTGAGCATATATTTGAAAAGCAAACTATTAATTTCCTCACTCATACATTGAAGATTTCCTCTCTTTTTACAATTAATTGAGGTGAAGGTAGAATTCACGTAAATGTAACGTTGAAACTCGTAATAAAATTTTCATAACTTTTTCAGCTATTGATGCTTTATAGCTGATATTGATGCTTTCTTCCTTTATAGGAATCCGAAAGATTTCAAAAACAACTTCTTATGTTTAATCCTCAATCCACGATCAGTGGATATAACTACTAGTTGTACCTCTTCAGTTAATTTTAGATGATCAACTCCACAGAGTACCATTTACAGAAGGCGGAGTCTCATTGTCTGCAAAGGAAACATTTATATTTATATTTTAACTTACAAAATGCGAAAAGTCATAAGAAATCCCAGAAATAACAGAAATTCTAGATATAATATGAAATAAAATAATAAATATTTAATCAAACTCATTATAAAACTACATTACAATTAAAACTTTAAAAAATTTAGTTAATAAATTTTGTATATCTAAGTATTAATGTTATAGCGTAATAAAGCTCATTAATAAATTACCATTAACTAAAGATTATTATAAAAAATTATTAAAAAAACATAGTTTATACACTAATACCTTTTAAGAAAATTAACGTAGCTATTATTTTACAAAATACATATATTTATTTTCAGTTACACTTTGAATGTGATGTTATAATAGAAAATGTGTAAAACGTTAGAAATTACTTTAGCTATTGAAAACCATTGTTAAAGTATAATTTGATATTATAAAAAAAATATAAATTTATTGCTGTTCTCTATATCACCCACATAAACGTATTCTATGTTGTTTTCATTAAAACCTATTAAAATGTTTGCTAATTAATTCTAGGTAATTCAAAGGAGAGGAAACTTTCCAAAAAAACAGGACTTTAATCTGGAATGGGAAGACTATAAAAATGGCTTCGGAGACTTGACTGAAGAGTTTTGGTTAGGTAAGTAAATGCCTAAAATATTTGCAAAAAATATATTTTTTGGAACGAAAACAGCATGTGTTTTTTTGGGTTTTTTTATCATAAATATTTTTCTTAAATATGTAAAACTTGCTTTTAGTACATACATAATTTACATACTAATTTATAAGATAATACATTACTTTAATGTCTTGTTTACAGAAATTAGCAATCGATATCATGAAATTAATAAATTTAACATATTTTTTATTGACACGTATAATTAAATGTAAAAGCTGCAAAAATAATGTCAAAAAAACTTTGTAAAACAGTTATCTTACACATCAGAAAAGAATACAATAACAAATATATTCGCAAAAAATAAAAATAAATAAATAAATCGAGTAGAAAAAGTAAGCACGATATTTTCATGAAATCATTCCACTGTAAAACTATTACACAATATGAAAAATGATAACAGTAAAAATATTTGAAAACAAGTAACATAAAAAAAAAAAAAAAAAAAAAAAATTAAAGTCAATTCCTACTTTTTTTTTCACTGTATTGCAGAAACTCCTTTA